CTGCACAACACTGTTATTATTTATAGCACTTTATTTTGTTGTCACAACACTATGTTTGTATTTATAGCACTTTATTTTGTTGTCACAACACTATGTTTGTATTTATAGCACTTAATTTTGTTTTCACAATACCATGTTCGTATTTTAGCACTATTTCGTTGTCATAATACTATGTTCGTATTTGTAGCACTTTATTTCGTTGTCACACACTCTTCGTATTTGTAGCATTTTATTTCGTTGTCACACACTGTTCTTATTTGTAGCATTTTATTTCGTTGTCACAACACTGTTATTATTTATAGCACTTTATTTCGTTGTCACAACACTGTTACTATTTATAGCACTTTATTTCGTTGTCACAACACTGTTATTATTTATAGCACTTTATTTCGCTGCACAACACTGTTATTATTTATAGCACTTTATTTTGTTGTCACAACACTATGTTTGTATTTATAGCACTTTATTTTGTTGTCACAACACTATGTTTGTATTTATAGGCGAAATTCAAAACAAACATCAAAAGTTTTGCTGGACTATGTTGACTGGTTGCCAAATTTTGTGAAATCAATTATGTATATGCCTAGCAGTAAGAGTATTGATCAGAGAAAAGAAACTTCTCCATTTATTTCAAAGACGTCACAAGAAGAGTATTTCGACCACAGGATGTCATAGATCTAGAGTTACTGAGATTCATCCTATGAACTGCGAAGATTTTGGAGCATGTGACGGCGTGGGTTGCGCAGCATTTTACAATATAACACAGAAAGAGATCCCTTTTACTGATAGTTATTCAAGTCTTTGTTCGATAAAAATAGAATGTGATATAAGGCTTGAGTTAACAATATTTTATCAGATCGTACACGATTTGTGCCCCTCTCTTCCGGTTGGAAGATGTACAAGATCATTCTGGAAGAATCTTTGGTTAGCGAAGAATATTAAGAAAAGTAAACCAAAACAAAGTTATGGGAAAAAGTTGGTAAACATTTCACGCCGAGTTGAGATATGAAACCAAATTGTTGCTTAAAAAATAATGTATTTATATACACAACTAAATTGTTAACAGATTTTTAAAAAATACATACGTATCTTAACATACATTAAAATTGTGCTCAACAAAGAATCTATTAACGAATTTATTTGTTTAGGTAAGTAATATTGTGAGGTAAAACTGAATCTTTACAAGGAATGCTCCAATTTGCTAATGTTTCAAAGATTTTATCGAGCAAAGAGAAACGCGGGTTAAAAATACACTTAGAATGTTGTTTCGTTTTACAGAAGCCCTCCAGTGTTTCAGCGACAAGAGTGAGTGCTTATAACGCTAACAATCGGGATTAGATACCCGTGCTGAGCAGCGAATAAATTGTTCATTATATTGCTTTTCGATAGGCAAAAAAGAAACAAAAAATTGGAGAAAAAAATCTGACTTATGTAGACAGCAATAACTGAATTAAATCTCCTCCAGTGGCAAATCTGAAGACTTACACCACTAAAAACCGGGTTTTGTTACTCGTGGTGGGCACAACACATATAACCCATTGCCTACCTTTGCGCTTAGCAACAAACAAACAAGTTAATTAAAAACTATAATACAAAAATTAATACTGGTTCACACATATTACATTTTAAAAAGTCAATATATCAACGTTCAATAACTTATGTAGGGGTAAAAGTTTGGAATGCTGTCCCAACAACATAAAAAATGAACTCATTAAGATGTTCAAGTTGACTTTCAAAAGGTATTTAGTAAATAAAATAATTTACTTGGTTATTTGCAAATATAATTTTAAAACATTCTGATGATATTCTCAGTTGGAGTTATCTAAGAGATTACATGATGTTACATATATGTTTTTAAATTAATAATACTTGTATTATACGGGACGCAATCTGAATAAATATTCGTTTTTTACTTCCCTCTAATGTGCTATAAATACAAACATAGTGTTGTGACAACAAAATAAAGTGACCGTCCAACCAAACATGCTCGCCCTTTTAGGCGTGGGGCGTTATAATGTGACGGTCAATCCCACTATTCGTTGGTAAAAGAGTAGTCCAAGAGTTGGCGGTGGGTGGTGATGACTAGTTGCCTTCCCTCTAGTCTTACATTGCTAAATTAAGGACGGTTAGCGCAGATAGCCCTTGTGTAGCTTTGCTGGTATTCTACTGGCTACATCTTGAACGGTATTCTGCTGGCTACATCTTGAACGGTATTCTGCTGGCTACATCTTGAACGGTATTCTGCTGGCTACATCTTGAATGGTATTCTACTGACTACATCTTAAATGGTATTCTACTGGCTACATCTGGAATCGTATTCTACTGGCTACATCTTGAATGGTATTCTACTGGCTACATCTCGAATCGTACTCTACTGGCTACTTCTCAATCAAATCTTTCTTCTACACTTCACTAGTCAGCAGACTCGACGCCAAGCCGTCGCTGACGTTTCACTATTTTAATATAATTATCTAACCAGACCTTTAAAAGCAATATAAAATAAGACATAAACCAACACACGGGCCATAATAGTCATACTTATAGAAAATAATAATTGAAACCATTGAGATAACACTTTATTCAAAGCTCTAAAACTTCGTTCCTTGTGTCCTTTTATAATCACTGATTAGAAGATATACAGAACCAAGAAAGATCCTGTAGTGTTTCCCTTCCAAAAAAAGGCCAATTTTAGGTGTCATCTGCATTAGTAAATCAACACACAAGGGTATAAGTAACTAAGGAGCTTTGAAATCAAATAGCATGTGTAGTCGTTGTCACTGGAAAGACCAGAGACAAATATACAAATTGTTACCTTAGAGTTATACTTATATGTTTGTATGTATGTAATTGTGAGAGTTAACTTTCCGCTCTGATTTTTAAACAAATGTTTTTTTTTCTTTGAATTAAGAGTACAGTGGTAAATATTATTCTCAGGTATGAGTAAGAAAGTGATAACTTCTAGCGGCAAAACGTAGTCTCGATCCTAGTTTTACTAAACTTTGATAGAATCGGTTATAAAACAGCAAGGAGGAACCGCTCAGCATTCGCTAAGCCTAACTGTAAGTTACTGTTGCAATTATCAATTAGACGTGAACAATCTGGTTTCCTAGCCTCGTGTTATCTATCAAACTCTTTGATAGTAGTATAATTTTCACTTCTACGATTTAACGTTATAATTTTAAAAATAGTTTCGTGAGAAAGACGAGGATTTTTTTTTCTCAGTCGTGTAATAAACATACTGGTTCGAAGGTTTTGGGCCCCAGCATGGCCAGGTGGTTAGGGCGCTCGACTCGCAATCTGAGGGTCGCGGGTTCGAATCTTCAAGATGTAGCCAGTAGAATACCATTCAAGATGTAGCCAGTAGAATACCATTCAAGATGTAGCCAGTAGAATACCATTCAAGATGTAGTCGGTAGAGTACGATTCGAGATGTAGTCGGTAGAATACCATTCGAGATGTAGCCAGTAGAATACCATTCAAGATGTAGCCAGTAGAATACCATTCAAGATGCAGCCAGTAGAATACCATTCAAGATGCAGCCAGTAGAATACCATTCAAGATGCAGCCAGTAGAATACCATTCAAGATCTAGCCAGTAGAATACCATTTAAGATGTAGTCAGCAGAATACC